AGGTTCGCAGCCCGATTCGTAACCACTACGCTACCATAACTGATTGGAATACCTAAAATGAGGCTAGAACTTGCACAGTGAAAGAGGCTTCCTGCAGAGCCTTTACATTGCCTAAGACCATAGGTGGAATCCTGATTCCCATCCAGGAGTCCCCAGTTCTTGCTATACAGTTGGCCAACCAGGTTCAACCATGGTCGGACTTAGTTCAGAACTTCATTGCTGTTTTTCTCCCACTTCCCCTTATCGGTAGACCAATGTGTTCAGCAGCAAGACCACATGCCTGCTCGTATATTCCCCTTGAGTCTCAGTCTTGGAAGGGGGTTTGGCCTGAGGGGACCCGACTGCTTGCCTTGATGGCTCCCATGCAGCTTCCAGAACCTTCTTCCACATTAAACACACTGCCATCTAATCAATTCCAACTCGTGGTGACCCTGTGGGACAGAGTAGAACTGCTCCCTTAGGCTTCTGAAACTGCAATTTTTTATGAAAGTAAACAGCCTTGTCCTTCTCCCTCAGAACTACTGGTGTGTTCCATCTATTGACCTACACCATCTGGGCTCCTTGTACCACAGTACGGGATGAAATCCAGTTGAGCAGCTGTAAGCCAGTCTTGCTCTTCTTCCCAACAAGCCCATCCTCTAGTTGCCACATGCCCGAGTTTCCACCACCCCACACTCCAACCATTCTCAGACTACATTCTCAGACTACAGATGAAGCTCGGTGGATCCAGCTCACACACCAGCACTGTGGCTTACCAGCATTGAGGCCCTGGGTGGGTTACATTCTCTCTCTGTGCCTCAGCTTCCTTTGCTGTACAATGGGGAGATTAATAGAGCACCCAGTAACATGGGTGGACATGTGGTGAGAATTCAATGATACAAACATGACACTGGGCAAATTGGCAGCAGTTATTTCCATGAAGCATTGAAAGCTCTGGTTGCTGGGAGTTCTCTGAGCATTACAGAAGCTCCCTTTCCCCTGGTACTTTGCTGAGAGTTGGCACAGGGCAGGAGCTGGGTAATGTTTGTGGATGTGGAGACAGCAGATGAACTGCACTGTTCTGAGTCTTCCACTTGCAAATCCTCTAAGTCAGATACTACAATAAAACCCGGATGCTGCTGGGCTATTTCCCCCAGCTGTCTGTCAGTGTGTCATACTGTGGGGTGGCTTTCATGTTGCTGTGATGTGGAAGCTATGCCACCAGTATTTCAAATACCAGCAGGGTCATCTGTTTCTGTGGAACTTCCAGATTAAGACAGATTAAGCAGAAAGGCTTGGTGATCTACTTCCCCATATTAGCCAAGGAAAACCTTATGGATCGCAACAGAATCTTGTGTGAGATTGGGCTGGAAGATGAGCTCCTAGGTTGGAAGGCATTAGAAATATATCATAGCTACCACACTGGATTCAAGCGTGTCAATGATCATGAGGATATCTCAGGACGTTTCATTCTGTTATACCTGAGTCACTGTGGTTCAGTATCAACTCAACAACAACCAGAAAGCCTCATCTTTCCCCCAAGGGGCAGCAGATGGGCTTGAATTGCCAACTTTGTGGTTAGCAGTCCAGTGATTATCCTACAACTCCACTAGGGCTCCTTAACAACAGTAGTATGTTTAACAATAATAAAAAATAGTGGCTAAGATCCCACTATGTGCCAGTACTGTACTGGACCATAATCTCTACTGACCATCTCTCATCCCATTTAACACTTAATAACAACAACAACAACACCCCAGTTAACCAAAAAGAAGGCTGAGGCTCACCACACTGAAGTTTTTGCCCCTAGTCGTCATGTCAGGAAATAGCGGCATCTAGACTTGAAGCCAGGTCTCCCACACTTTGCATGATGAATGAGAATGAGAGAAAAAGGTAAAACAAGCAAAAGAGGCATTCTTACCAGTGATAGTAGCCGCCATGAGTGCACATGAGGCCCGGCCAGCAGGAGATGACCTTTATACCCTACCGGGAAGCGCCCACACCAGGCTGGGTGATTGCTAAAGCCTCGGAAGAAGAGTAAGAATACTGAATTAAGCCTACACCAAATTCCAGCTCAGCAAATAGTCCCAATCATTGTGTCTCAGCACAAAAATGTCATTATCTGTCAGATTCAGTCATACCACAGTAGCTAGGCAAGCTAGGCTGAGGGACATCCACTTTTGCATGTGTCAGCCATCCCACTGCCAACTCCTGGGAAACAGGGCATGGCCCCCAAAAAACTCACTGCTGACAAGTCATAGAGACCTTCTAGGACTGAGCTGAGAGTTCTGGTGTGGCACTGTAGAATAAGCATTGGACTGGTAACTGCAAGGTCTATGATTCAAATCTATGAACGACGCCCTGGAAACCCTTTACAGAAGCAAACTGCCTCATCTTTCTCCCTCAGAGTTGCTGGTGGTTTGAAAACACTGCCCTTGCAGTTACCAGCCCAATGCTTAACTCATTGTGTCACCAGGGTTCCTTTGAGGCATGGTAGATGCTGGGGAGCAATCAGCAAGGGGAGGCAGTACGCGGGGCCAGTATTCATCTAAGAGTGGTGCAGATGGTTTATCAGCTCTTAACGGAAGGGTTGGCAATTCCAGTCCACCCAGAGGCACCTTGGAAGAAAGGCCTGACAATTTACTTCCAAAAAAGCAGTCAATGAAACCCTATGGAACCCGGTTCTACTTTGACACACACATGGGGTCTCCATGAGTTGGAGGGGATTCAAAGGCAAAAAATATTTCCCAAGCATCTATCCTGGAGGATAGGGTCAGAGAGGGGACCTACCCCAGATGAGCCTTCCAGGGAAGATCCTGAGAAGAGGGTGCCCTGAGGGACAGGGAGATGGGGAAGTCCGGGGCGGAGCCTAGGGAAGAGCAAGTTCAGAGCAGAAAAAGGGATTTGTTTGCAAGGAGATGGTGTGTTGGGTTTAAAGAACAAATGGTTAACACACTTGGCTGCTTACTGAAAGGCTGAAGGTTGGAGCTCATCCAAAGAAGACTCAGAAGAAAGGCCTGGTAATCT